TGATTCTGCAAATGATGCTGAGTCTCTCACTCTGAACTCTTATACACCTGAATAATGCAAGAAATGTATAATTTGTGTATAATCAGTCATTCAGACTGTGAACAACTGTACTGAATAATCTCTTAAGAATTCTACTGATCTGAGATATTAAACAGTATTAGATATTTTATCTGAAATCACAACTGTTGTTCTTTCATTATCTTGTAAAAGAACTGTAGAAAAGATCTGCTGAAACTGCTCAATATCTCTGATAGAATCTGATAAGATGTAATAATTGACTTCACTGTTGATCTCTCTGAGAGTAAGAGTTATAGAAATATTCTGATTATTGTGAATTAATTGAGCAAAGATATAATATTGAAATCTTGTAATAAGATGAATGCTGAATAAGTTATTAAAGCTTTTCTATAAAGCTTATTCTATCAGATGTATGAATTACTGAGATTTATAATATTAAATTAAGACTGTTAATTCATGAGCACTCTCTGAACAAGAATCTGTCAAGTTCTTAAGATTATACACTGTCTGTCAACTGTCTATCACTCTGAGACTGATAATGCATCAGAATAGATAATTCAGACTGTAAAGAATTATCTCTGTAAGTTCTGCAATCACTTATAAGATAATTGACATGATCTGCTTCTACATGCAGAGATCACTATTAATGAATGAGATGCTGTTTCAGCAGATATAAGCTCATTCTTTCTTACACACAGTTATTATATGAAGGTATTGAATCTTCTAGAGATTATACAGTTCACACTGAATCTCTGCAGTCTGATTCAGATTACTGATAATATAGTAATAAAGCTCTGAGATATCTGTGACTGAGCAGAGATCTTCATAACTGTGAAACAAGATTAAGAGAATTAAATCAATATTCACTGAGACTCTGCTGAACAATATAAGATAGAAGACTTGATATGATTGAATCTTAAGAATATACAGATCACATGTTCATCTTATATACTAGATTATCATCATGTTAAGTATAAAGTGATAGAAGTTCTAGATAATCATAACTATTATCTTAACAAATTATTAGAAATTCATGATATCTTTTACACAAGCTTACTCTGCTGCACTGCTACTGATTCATTCTCTTCTTAAGTGACTTCTGACTGACAGCTGTCAGGCATCATAGAACAAGATAATGAGCTTGACTGAGAGATTAAGAATATTCTTGATAAGAGACTCTGCAGCCGCAGCTGATAATATCTTGTGAAATGAGTTAACTATGATCAACTGATCTGAACTCTGAGTTCTGTGTTATCTGAAACAGCAGTTCTTGACTGATGAGAACTGCTTCTGAAAGAGAGAAGCTAATGTGGCGGGCTGCACTCAATCAATTATATAGACTATTTCATTACACTTCACAGATTTCTACTGCTTCATTCTTGAATGTGTATACTCTGATTCTCAGCCATTCTTGATCACTGATTCTCAGCTGCTATGAACGCGTGTAAATTCTTCCACCCTGAAGTTCCACTGCGTACATCATCACATACATGTATAAATATTCACTTCAATCACTGATTCTTGTACTTTCTCTTTCTTTTCCTTCTTTAACATTGTTCTCTTTGTTATATAAGACCTATATATTATACCGATCTAGTCGGCGTAGGCCTCTTACAATTTGAAATTAACAAAGATTGATATTATCAATCTGTGAGCTGCTGCTATTCTAATAGAGCTGCAGTCTGTAGAAAAAGTAAAAAGAGAGAACTTCAGAGCTTACTTATCAATAATTACATCTTTATTAAACTCATTCTTCACTGTTGAAGTCTCTGATACTGATATCTTTATCTGCTGAGAAGTTAGTGCTGCAGTACTGCAGAGAAGCATACTGCAGAAGAGTATAAGAGACACTTAAAATATTAACTTATTAATTTGTAAAGCATCTCAGTCATCTGTTTCAATTGAAGTGACATTCTCTTTAATCAGTGATTGATCTCTGTGATGCTTTCAACAGTGATATCAGCTAATCTCTTCTTAAGATTAGTTATTCTGAGGTGTTTTTTCATCTTAAAGATTCACATCTTCATCTTCTTTTACAGATGAGTAAGAGAAATCTCTTCAGTCTTGATAGAATCTGTCAATACTTGAAGCTTTCAGACTCTTGCTCTATACGGCTTAAGCATCTGAGCTTCTTGTCAGAACTGATATGATATCTTCTTGTAGAGTAGATAATACTTACAGAGAGATAGAAGTCATTGTTACAGATATAACAGAAATAATAAGAGTAAGAGAAGAAATGAGTGTATAAAATTCTCTCTTTCTTCAGCTGCTTAGCATAGTGTAGATAAGTGATAATACTGATCAGAGACTGCACTGAAGCCTTCTCACAGAGAGAAGACAAAGAAATTACAGAACTCTGTGAACTCAACTCAGCAGCATTCTGAGCAGAGCTCAGACATATCATGAAAGAAGAACTATGAATTAAGCTTCTCAGAGTCACTGTTTCTGAAATCAAGCTCTCTCTGAGATTCTCTTCAAATGATCACACAGGGTCATACATTACTATGTTGATTGAGAGAGAGAGCAGTATTGCAATGACAGTAGAGAGAGTAGAAATGAACTGAACACACGCACAAGCTGATCAGCAGAAGAGATAACATCTCACTCAAGCACAGCAACTATCATACGGACGGTAAGAAGAAGTAGTAGAAGAAGAAGAAGATATAATAATAAGAGCAGTACTTCTGCAGTCTGTTGACACTACTGTCTTCATCTTCAATCAGACTTTCTTAACAGTCACAGAGACTGCAGCTGCATCATGAAGATATTTAATTACTAGAAAGTATCAGAATAAGTCTCTTATTATCTTCTAAGAATAATACTCTCATACACTCACTATTATAAATTAAGAAAAAGAGGAAAAATTGTGTCATGAGAGAAAAAGAATCTTTTTGAAAAATCCTGTCACTATTATTTAGCATTGTCTCTAAAATACATCACTTTTATAGAGAATTTCATATATAGAACAGAATATGATAGAAGATCTACAAGTCACTTATTAACTATGTTTTTCACATTTTAAATTAATATATAAGAAACTCACTTATCATGCAGTTGATTTGAACAGAGATAAGAGAAGAAGATTTATACAGTCAGTAGAAAAACTCATTCATTTCTTTGTATCATGTGCAGTATATATACTGTCAATTGATTGATAACTATTGCTATACAATAAAGATAACTTCTAATCTGATAATCTTGAGAGTATTGAAACTATATTTTTAAAGAGAAGAGTATTGTCACACTTCTGACTATATCAAGACCCTGTTATAGTTTCACATGGCTTATTGCTTTTATGTGAATAATTTCATTTATTCTGCAGGTCATTTAAACTGGTTTTCAATCACTCTATAACATCATTTGAATATATTATAGATAGATTTAATTGATGAATATAAGAATCTCACTTCTATACAAGGTCAGTAGATTACTCTTCCTTGATAGTGAGACACTGCTGAGATATCACTCTGGCTATTCTCACTTATGAAATGAGAGAAGAATATCTGCTCATTATCTATATAGAATAACTAGATGCTAACTTCTTATTAAAGAAGTCAGTGATTTGTTTTTCTTATACTGAAACATATACAAGAGTTACTATGTTTCTTATATAATTTTCTTAGTATACTAAGTACTATATCTGTGATATTCTTGCAATAATTCTGTAAGTCTACAAGCTCACTACTCAAGTAAGATAGTCAAGCTCACTCACACGGCTTCTCAAACAACTATCTCTACATGATGCCGCCAACTAGCCACCGCTTCGGTTCCGCTACATTACATATATACACTTACTGTGATAATTCACTCTCTGTGTATATAACTGAGAGTTATGACTTTTTCATACTGTACAGCTCTTTCTGAGATGCTGCTGCTGATTTGTAATTCACACAGTCTCTCAGTTCAGTATATACTGTGTGTATACAGTCTAGTATACTGAGACTGTGTTGATTATTATAATCTGATATAATACTCACTTTTCACAGATCATGTTTTATTTGAGAAGAGAGAAGAAAGACATAAGTGTTGTTTTATTAAGAGAGAATGAATAATTAGTAATATTGAATATAATTTAATACTTCTGTATTTAAAATTTAATTAGTCTATACTCTTCAATTTGAGAGTTTCTAAGAGTGTTTTAATAGTTTTCATATCAGCTTGAACTTAGTGATGAGTTGAAGAAGAAGAGAAAAAAGAGAAGAAAGAAATGAGAATAACTTATCTTTATAATATAAAAATAGAGAATCACTGTAATTATTCTTTCTAGTAATAAAGATCTGTTTTCTGCATGTATCTCTGATATAGATTATATAATAACTGCATATAAAGAATATCAATAGTGCATGTATTAAATAAAGATAATATTACTATAAAACACGGTAGTCATTTCTATAAATCTCTGAAAGCTGTTAATAGTTTCTTTGAGTCTCTTTATATTTAATAAGTTAATAATATATTTCAATACACTTCTTCTTTTATTATCATCATTATCATCATTATCATTATCATTATCATCATTATCATATCATTACTAGCTGTCTCTTCTGTCTTTATTCTCTCTTAATACTTAGTAAAAGCAATTATATCATCTCTCTTCAAATATTCTACAGTTCTGCAGATCATCAAGACATATAAGTACTGGTACAGATTGAAGAGAGAGAGAAGAAGAAGACATTCAAGTGAGAGAAGACAGATTATAAGACATGTTATAATACCTTGAAGAAGCTCTGGTAGAAGAGTAAAAAGATAACCAATTTTAGTAA